ATACTTTTTAAAGCCTAAGGAATAAAATAGTACAGATGCCACCCAATCTATTAAACCCTCCCCATTGTGGACGACAATTATTTTTTGGAAAAAAAATTTATGAGATTAAATTCTTACTGTTTTAATGAACTCAACCACTCAGCCATGCCAGCCGAGCTATCATTAAGTTCTTGAGTTTGGTTCTCTATATCTCATCTGAAATACTTTTTAAAGCCTAAGGAATAAAATAGTACAGATGCCACCCAATCTATTAAACCCTCCCCATTGTGGACGACAATTATTTTTTGGAAAAAAAATTTATGAGATTAAATTCTTACTATTTTAATGGTGTATTTCAAAATTTCTTTGAATGAGAGAAAATTCTGTGCTTATTGACACATTTTAAGAACCTTATATAGAATTTATTTAGATCCTTACAGGAGAACTCAGCAGTCTGAGATAGGATTTATGCCGCTTTGAGGAACCAAAACTGTGGAATGCTCTTCTGCATTGCACTGCATAATTGGATGATCTTCTGTATTACACTGCATAATTTACATCATTCCTCGGGAGTTCCAGGCATAGACATCTTCTCTACATACTTTATTCTCCTATAAATTTTGCTTGAAGGGTTAATGACACCTGCTGAGCAGCTAGCATCTTGCTGGAACTCTCCATACTCAAGCTGAAAAGAATGATCATAGCCTGGCTCACAAATCTTGGCAGATGTGTGCAGAATTGCTCTACCTTTCACTCAGTCCAGGGAGATGAGACTTTGTTATATGTTCATTAGCAGTGATAAAACCATGGATCGTTATTTTCCTAATTAGCCATTAATAACAGTTAAGTCTGTAACGAGATCACAGTTTCAGAGTGTGGAGAATATATTGTTGACAGTGAAATCTAATGAAAAACGAAATGGCTTCATTTTATAAAAGATATTAATCTTATCGATATAATTACTGCCACTCAGGCCAGACATTAGTATCCTTTCATTTTGTCTCGTTTGTTTTAATACTGGTGACTGAAATATATACTCCTCTGATGGGAAGAAAGTTCTGGAACTAGAGAGTGAATTACAGTAATTTTTAAATAAACGAGGTGCTGAAGTATTTATAGGCTGATAGTAAGAAAACTCATTGCATCAGTTAGAGCAATGCTTTCTTATAACAGAGCCGCCATGGATGCTAGGACAAATCAATGTAAGCAGATTGATTTTTCTTTGGTCTTTAAATGTTTAAGCCAACACCTGGCCTTTGTAATGTCTCTTGGTTGTAGGAAATAGCTGGGAATTTCAGGTGAAGGATTACAACTTTTGAAATAGTTATGCTACCCCAAATGATCCATTGGATGTGGCTGAAAATGCCAGTTTTAAATATATTCATGGGATTAAGAGTGAATACTTCTTTTGCCTGAAATCATGTGGTTTAGCTTTAGTACTTACTATAGTCAATCCATTTCTTTGAAATATTGAGCTGTCTGACAGTTTAAAATCCTAAGTTTCCTTTAAACTTGAGCCTGGCTTTGGAGGAGAAAGGGGTAGTGTGGGGGTGGATTTTATGTAAGACTCTCCCAAGAAAATTCACTGAAGTGCTTTTGCTGGCAGGGCGCAGGGAAGACTAGCAAACTGCTTCATCTCAGTTCTTCTTGAGTTTTGCCCTTAGCCCAGATCAACAGTTAGTCAGATAATTTATGTCAAGTCCACTGGAGTCTCTTGTTGGGCCTTGTATCATTTTCCTTCCGTGCAAAAACATGGAAAAGATCCATATGCAAAGTCCACAGTTTGCTAAGCCAGTTAGATATTAGAAAAAGTCTTCACACCCTGATACCCTTTATTCCTTGGATCTTTATTTTTAATCTTAGTTGGGGGACTGAGTTTTTATAAACATCTCTTGATCAGATATCACCTTATAAGAGTTCTTTCTTGTGAATGTAGCCAAGTACTAAAGATGTATTTAGAATATATTCTATGGAGATACTAACATCCTGCAGACTCATTACTTCCATGTTAAATGTAAATACCTAAATGCATACTAAGGTGCAGCTGGTGTGACTCAGTGGTTGAGCGTAAACTCAGGAACCAAGAGGTCCCTGTTCCATTCCAGGTCAGGGCACATGCTCAGATTGTGGGCTCCATTCCAGTAGGGGGCATGCAGGAGGCAGCCGATCGATCTTTCTCTCTCATCGATGATTCTTTCTCTCTATCCCTCTCCCTTCCCCTCTTTCTGAAAAATTAATAAAAACATATTTAAAAAATAAATGGGCACTAAGATTTGAATGAAGTGAGCAGTAGGCAGTAGAGACATGGGTTTAGTTCTAGATTTCATGCCTACTTCTGAGCACATCTCTGGTTTTATTTGTTTCTTCATCTACACATTGGAGGTACCTTTACCTATGTTTGCTTAACTCAGAATTCCAGTGAGGTGAGATTTCTGACATTGCTTATAAATTAAGAGGGCCTCTCCACATACAGATTTTATCATCAGTGCAAACTTATTTAATAGTAGTCTGCTTTAAACTTGAAAATATATGATAGAATGTTATGCTAGCTAACTGTGAGGGCATATATTAAAAAATGAATTTATAAAGAAAGATTTCTTCAAAGACCATGGTGGAGGCTATACTATCTATGAGGTTTTTTGTTTTTTTTTTTAAAAAATCTTGGCCTGAAGAGCACAGAGAATGTGAGGATGAGCATGCCAGAAAGAGGAAATCCAGTGTGAAAAAAGTGGAGAGCAGAAATGGACATGACATGTTCAAGAAAGTGATGTTCATTTTAGATTAAATCCCCTTTTATTATAAGTATAAAAATGAATACTTGAATAGAAAGACAATATTCTGAACTTATATTCCATAGTAATAAGAAAGGCTCATAGAGCTTGCATCTGGATTAACTGAGAATTAGCAAGTTTAGCAATAACTTAGGAGGAGACGAAATACTTAAAGGCTGAGGAGGATACAAAGTAGAATTAGCATCACTGTTGGGGTTCCATTAGAGAAGACTTCTGGAGAATAATGTTTAGAAGGAAATGATAAAAATGGATTTGTAGAGCCCTCGCTGGAGTTGCTGTGTGATTAGAGCATTGTCCCATGCACCAAAGGTTTGCGGGTTCAATTCCCAGTCAGGGCACATACCCAGGTTGTGGGTTCAATCCCTGGTTGGGGCCCATATGTGAGGCAGCTGATTGATGTTTCTATCTCACATTGATGTTTCTCTCTTTCTCCCTCTCCCTTTCTCTCTCTCTAGAATCAATGAAAAAACGTGTCCTGGGTGAGGATTAAAAAAAAAAAAGTGGATTTGTAGATAGTATGGAAGCTAAAAAGAATGCTCTACATAGTGGGGTTCTGGAAATATCTAATTAGGTGGTATGATCAAAAGTGGTGTCTGGCCCTGCTGGTATGGCTCAGTGGTTGAGCATCAACCCATGAACCAAGAGGTCATCAGTGAATTTTTGGTCAGGGCACATATCCAGGTTGCAGGCTCAATCCCCAATAGGTGCAGGAGGTAGCTGATAGATGTTTCTTTCTCATTGATGTTTCTTTCTCATTGATGTTTCTCTCTATCAGAAACATCTTTTCTTTCTCATTGATGTTTCTCTCTATCCCTCTCCCTCTGTCTCTCTAAAAATCAATAAAAACATTTTTTAAAAAGTGGGGTCTGCACTTCAGTCTTTAAAGAAGCACATTGAAGATATAGAAATGTAATACAGATTCAGTCTCCGTTCATTTTGTTCATCTTATCCCTTGGCCCCAGAGCCATATGCAAACATGCAGATAAACGTTTTGCTACCTGTTATCTGTTCTGCTCTCAGAAGTTCCCTCCTTCCCAGAAAAATGGAGCTTTTGCTTTGATTGAGACTATCCATGTTCTGGTCCATGCACCCCTCTCTAAGATCTCTTTCTGTTTTCTCCCCAAATATGTCTTCTCATTCTTTTTCTGAGAAGACCCGAATCATTTCCTGGCAAGTCGCTTTCCCTGCCTTTGCTTTCTGCCTTTCTCCCATCAGGATTGTCTTCTCTCCTCTCAGCCAAATCCTCTGAGTTCAGTCCTCTTTCAAAATCCATGGCTTCAAAAATCACTTTCCTCGATGGTCACTGGCTAATTTTTGGTTTTCATTTAGCAAGTATTTTCTTGTATGGTTATACTTAACATGTCTTGCACTTTATTTCATTTGCTAGATTGAGCACATTGTAAAGGGGCTGTGTCTTGTAACCTTCATCAAATTGCTTGGGATTTCTGCAAATTTGGTTGGTGATGACATCATAGACAGACCGATCTTCCTTATGTGTTTGACACGTTTATTGGAAAACCAGAGCTGTGTAAATGTGTAGAGACTTGTTTGTTTGTTTGTTTGTCACCATATCTCTAATGCTTACTACCAGGCCCAGTTGTGGACTTAATACCTGTTTGTTGAATGAGTGCTGGCTTAATTTACTTAAACTGTATGTCTTAACCTGGGACTTTTAAATATCGAGCAGGAGAACTCCAGAACGTTGTCTCAACAAACAGGATTATTAAGTGTCTTCCCAGTGGTTACAGATAGCACCCAGCATCTCATCATTTTCTCCTAGGATGGGAAAGCCTTGGTTTTTCTCCTGTTCTGTTGTTTATTAGAAGAGGACAGGAGAAACAAGGTGGGAAATTATAGTTGGTGTAATCTGGCCAGTGTTCTGGGTCTTTTTATTTTTGACCAACAATCACAATGAAACAGAGGAAAACTTTGAGGGAAGATTACTTTCTAAGATTTATGGACCCTTGTTAGACTTTTTAAGTGTTTATTTGAGGCTTGCTCACTCTTTTATCTACATCTGCATTCTATGGTAAATGTTTTGCTTATCCTATCTTCTGTGTTTCTCTCTATGGCAAATTGCCTGACAGTATTCAGAAACTGAGAAGAATGTTTAAGATCAAGACTTCAAGTTCTTCACTTCTGATGAGGCTTACAGACAGGGGCGAAGCAACAATCCTATGAGGGGAGAACACTAACTCTCTTCTTGTTTCTCTTTTCTTTTGTCTTTAGCTCAAGCCAGGACAGAACAGCTGTAGGGACAGCGACAGTGAAAGCGCCAGTGGAGAATCCAAGGGTTTCCACAGGAGCAGCTCTCGGGAAAGACTCAGCGATGTAAGTATTTTAAAAAGAAATCAAACAGAACCACCAAACCTTACATCCCTTGGGTAAAGTCTCAATTCCCTACACTACACTTCATATCACTTTGTATATCCAAGTATAAGTTCACCCTTTCTTCATGTACACATGGTTGAGCCTTGCGTTACAGTGTCATTCCATTTTCTAGTTTGACCTAAAATGTGTTTTAACAAAATACAAGGTAGGAGGGAGTATTTGTCACCTTAGAAACAGTCAGGAAATTCAGTTCCTTCCCTTGCCAAGTAATTGGCTTGTTAGTCACCCCTTCTAACAGAAATAAAATCGCAGAAAGGGATTATTACCAATCTCATGGGTGAAGAAATTACAAATAGCCCAGAGTTAAATGATGTCATCTCCCCGGTGTAGCACTGCCTATTTCTGGGGGAGAAACCCTTGTGAGAACACACCATGCCTCTTGAAGGATCTGTCAGCTCTCCATCCGCCCCCCACCAAGGGGCCTGATTCCCCTTTACCACTTCCCAGCACCACCGGGCCCTCTTCGGACACTCTAGCCTTCTTCCCCAACATGTCATATAACAGGATTCTTAACCCATCTTTGCCCCTGAGAGCAACACTTGGAAACTTTCTTGTAAAATAGATCAAGTATATAGGAAATTTTATTATTGATACCAACACAGAAACATTACCAGAGTAAGTGAGATAATACTCTTAAGAAGGCAGCAATTCTGTCCTTGAGTTTGAAGAAGCAGCAGAGTTAGGATGTATAATAGGAGCAAATCCATTGCCTCTTGTTTTCTTCTTTTTTATGCTCCAAAGCAGTTTCTTCATTATGGTGTATACGATGATTAGTGTATTAAGTGTTAGTACATATTTATTTTTTGTCTGAAAAAGAAATTAAACTTTGCTAATACCCAATTTAATAATCATGGAGTAGTTTGTTTCTATAACTTATAAACATTTTAGAAATGTGCTCAAAGCTTTTTACTGAGAAGTGTTCATAAGCATGAAAGGTTGGAGACCATTGTAGCACACTGAGTCATTCCTACAAAAATCGCCCATCTACTTCTCCATCAGCGAAGGTGGACAACCACAAAAACCAGCCACCTTCCTACACCTCTCAGGAAAGTTTGTGAGATTTAGGGTAATAGTTGATGCATGCAACATTGAATTCTTACAATAATTAAGTGGAATAAACAAAGTATAATTATTTATATAGTACTCTTAATATCTTAATTATAGATATTTTCCTCCCCTTTTAATATTGAATAATGTCAATGCACTGAGTCTTTGCTATGAGTATGAGTGGATAAGAATATTTCTTTGTGTGTTTGTATTTCATTAATTTTGCGATACCACTATAAATTAAAATAATAAAACTATAACAATATATTCTTACCTATGTTGTTAATAACAATACTTAATACTCAAGGAGCTGTTCTTCTGAGACT